GGGCTCAGAAAATCACTCTGGATCTATCACATCCAAGCCATCTCCTTTTTGAACTTTTGCCATCTGGTCGGCGTTACAGAGCACCGAATACCAGGACAGCCAGGCACAAGAACAGTTTCTTTCCCCAGGCAATCTACCTCATGAACAGTTAATGTTCTCCCATTGTGCAATTAAAGTACAGTATGTGCAATAACCTTATACTTATTTATCACCCTAAATCCTAGTACATCCCTACAACTTTATTTTATTCTATTACTATTCTATCTATAGCACACCTGTACATACAATGTATTCTTTTTTTGTGGTTTATATTTATGCATGTGTATTTTATTCACATCTTATTTGTATTATCTGTGTGTTGTTGTTGTCTCCGTGTACTGGAAGCTTGTGACACTATAACAAATTCCTTGTACGTGCAAACATACTTGGCAATAAGGCTCTTTCTGATTCTGATAACTCCTGTTTAGAAGCTGTTATTTGAAAGATTCTTTTTCCTGGTACATTTTGGCATCTAATGGCATCAAACCCTGTTTTTTTGTGTTTATTGTAATATTTGAAAAATATATAATGTTATTTATAAAGAATTACACTCATATTTTGAAGTTCAAATGGTTTTCTTTACAATGAAACCATTTTTTTTTAAAAATTTCCTCCATTGTATGCGTGTAGGGTAAACATTTGAATAGGTCAAATTTAGGCGAAAATACCAAAAAAACGCACCTGAGCGCAAGTGGTTTTAACAGTCTCATATTCTGAAGGGGGAATACGGCGATACCTCTGCCTAACTGGAGTCTCATCTACCAAAGGAATATCGTGAGAAATTAATGTAGTACAACCCAAGTCCGTATCGCTGAAGGAAAAAACAGAGCTATATTTATTCAAGAGCAATTGTACATCACTCTGATCTTTTTCGGAAAGGGGGGGACAAATCCAAGGCCTTGATCTTATCCTGGACAACAGAGGCTTCAAGAGAAAACATTGTTGCAGTAGCAGTCCTAATCTCCTTAACCTCTGCGGGTAGACTAACTACACTTATCGGGGTAAGGGTACCAATTACAGTATGAGGATACAATACAACGTCTTCCGACCCTACATTAACTACTGGGATGTATACTGTACCTCGGGTTACTGCAATCAGCGATGGAGAGGCCAACAACCCTGCTGGTAGCCCAGTACCTGGGGGCTCAAACAAAACAGGATGTCTGGCATACTGGACAGAACAAGTAGCGGGCACCAACTTCATGGTACCACCAGGAATTCGTCAAACTCTTCGTCCCTGCACTCTCACCTGCCCTAGAAAATATACTGCAGGCTTTACCTTAGCCCGATGGCACTGTTGCAGGGCTTGACGAACGGGGCTTGGGGCCCGTGTCACAGAGGGAACATCAAATAACACAGACCCATACTCCCCAAATAACTCTGCATAACATTCTTTAAGAACATTCATTCCTAACACCCCTGGAACTCTGGTACTACTCCCTGGAGGGTCTTTGACCACTAACACTCCCCCGTCCAAGCATTACCTTTCCACAAAGCTCCACATCCACTTCTATATACCCCACATATGGTATAGCTTGACCATTAACAGCCTGAAGCTGTAACCAATGGCAGGACTGGAACCGCGCCGGACCCAATTTTAATATGTTAAATAATTGATATGTATGTTTGAATTGATAAATTAAAAAAAAAAAAAAAAAAAAAAAAACTCTGTTATGGTGGACACTCATCGATCCGGTGTCCACCAAACATGACACCCGAACACCCTCCACAATTACATCAACGTGGGGACAAGATGACATCAACTGAGGCATAGATTCGACTTCTGCACTACCCACCGAGCCCAACATACCCCCCCCATCCGAACTGTGGCTCAACAGCTCGGTGGGTATTAGTTTTCCGACTGCCGAGCCTAGGAGGACTAGGAGCACCTCCTCAAGGAGGCACACCCGAGGATGACTGGGACCAAGGTGTGACCCTCTCCACATCACACTCTCGGGCATAATGGCCAGATTTCTGACATCGCCTACAGATAACTGAACCCCCACGATGTGAAGAGCTCTGACTACGCTGGCACTGTAATGTCGCAAAATTCTGGGTAAGCTGATCTAATTGTCGTTGCTGCGGTTTCAAAAGCTCCTTTAACTAAGCAAGTTCTGAGCTAGACGCAACAGAAAAATCAATTAAAGACGTAATCAAACAGACGATGAACACTATTAACAGCAATTATTATATGATGCAATCAAACTTATAGCAAAATGTGGTAGTTCTGTATGTTGTTTCAGGGTTGGCATCATCTGAGGTCCTCTGAGGGGTTGGCATCATCTCTTCTCAGGTGTTCTGGATCCAGACTGAAGCTTGTGTAAATCCTAGTTACCACGGGATGTCAATCCTGTGGCAAAAACAGAGAAACAAATAGGGACATAATTAGCGTAGCTGCTGTTCCAACCAAGCAAAATTGATTTGTTTAACCCAAGCTAAAGAATAATAATGTGCATTTGATCAGATATAACTGCAGTACAAGATTATGATATGCATTATTTGAATGCTTGGCCATAGAGATGTGTCTTTAATCTAGATTTAAACAGAGAGTGTGTGTCTGAACCCCGAACGTTATCAGGAAGGCTATTCCAGAGTTTGGGAGCCAAATGCAAAAAATCTCTACCTCCTTTAGTGGACTTTGCTATCCTAGGTACTACCAAGAGTCCAGAGTTTTGCGACCTTAGGGGGCGTGATGGATTGTAGCGTGGTAGAAGACTAGTTAGGTACGCAGGAGCTAACCGATTAAGGGCCTTATAGGCAAGTAATAGTATTTTGTAACGGATACGGAACTTAATAGGTAGCCAGTGCAGAGACTGTAAAATTGGGGTAATATGATCATATTTTCTTGACCTGGTAAGGACTCTAGCCGCTCCCACCTAATAGTCTCCCTACGAACATCCAACAGATTAGAGTATGGTTTTTCACGAACAAAACGCTTGAGTTCTCTACGGAGAGCACAGTCATAAATGTACTCCACAAATTGGTCATGTAGTAGAATCTCTATGTTAGGCATATCATGGGGGGGCATTCTTTTTAACCTTCCCATTAAACACAATGCATGTGAAAACTCCTGCAATGACTCCCCTTCCTGTTGTTTTCGGGAAAAGAATGCTTCCTGTAAAGAGACATAGGACTGAGAACATCCATAAAGTTCCTGTAAAATGGCAAGAATCTTTATGGGGTCTTCCCTTTCCTCTCGTGACCGATATTTAATCTCCTCCTTCGCTTCCCCCTCTAAATGATCATACATAAAGAAGGCTCGGTCAACAGAAGATAAATGACGGGCACGTACACTCACCTCTACTTCCTCCACCCATTCCCGTAAACTTAAACCACCCCTGCCGCTAAATAGGGGGCAACGCCTTTCTCTAGGGATGTACACCACCCTTTCAGCGGTGGAGACACTACCAGAAGAAACACTAAGGGGCAAGGCATTACTGCTAGAGGGACCCGCTACTGCTACTTGGCGAAGCCGTGTTTTATCTGCCTCCAACCGCGCTACCAGCTCCTGCAGTTGTTGCAAGTCCTCGGCCATCATGACTGAAAAAAACAAAAAGCCAAATGAGAAATCGATACACCCCTACCCAACCTGATGGAACCTACTGCTGTTTTGTCTCTCAATACTCAAATTTGAATTCAGGCAGAACACATTTCAACTTCAACTGGGTAAACAACCCTGCCGACTACGCCAGAATGTAGCGGGACAGTAAGGCAGATAAATAAATCGAGGAAAAGACCGCAACCTTGACCTAAAATTTGCAATAATAGCCCACTACGCCACCTAGGGACTTCCACCCCAGGATATAAACCACTCAACCATACAGGTTTGGTCTACCCAGAAATGATTGAGATGTTTCTGCCAGTTAAAACCAATGTGCTATTACATCAAAAATAATTTTCTGTTTAAAAACAAGGAAGTCATAATTCACAGGGGGACATGTTCGATACAGATACCTTTTAAATACCCATAAACAAATAAAAAATAAAAAAAAGATACCAATTAAAGTATATTAAGCTAACTGAGTGACTTCTCCATTCATCTGCAAATAAAGAGAGAAGGAAAAATGGGTACAAAGTACAGAAGACGTGAGAGAAGTGAATCAGACATGAGAGTGAGGGTGAGCGAGAAAGAAAGAGCTAAAACTCCTCTCATTCCACAACTCATCAGTTCCACTAGGGACCGCGGGATGCTTTCATGTGGAGGTGCATGCATAAATAAGCAAAATTAATTCAACAAAGAAAACTCCCGAAATAGACCTCTCTCATCCTCCAATCACTTTAGCAAAAGCCTCACCTGCTATACTGGGGAGCTTTCTTTGAGAGTCTAATACCTAGCAGCTATATTAGGCTCATTCCATGAATATAGGAAAACAAACGGGGGGAAAAAAAAAAAAAAAAAAAAAAGGGGAAACAACAAGAATTGCATATAAGAAACAAACAAAACAACCACAAAATAAACTGAAAGCACCACCTGGGCCGCTGAGAGCACTTACAAGGAGAAAATCCTAAACCCCCAGACAGACAAGCCCTCACACTCTACTGCTCTCCACTGCAACCACACGAATGAAAAACAAATGTGTTCCACACTACACCCCAAAGAAAATGGTGTATCTAGGTCCCCAAAGGGAGAACTCTCAGCACTGACAAAGAAACACAAAAACAAATATACAAATTACACAATAAGAAAAATAGGAAAGAAAACTACAGATATATGCAAAACATCAGGGTACGTGACTAATCATCCCCGTAAATCACTGACAGTATATCACATCAGCCGTCTTGATCACTATTACCCAAAAAGTTAGGAAAAGAAAATGACTAAATAAACCCTTTAATATTCCCAAATCCATCAAACGAACAACTGACACAAAGAAAGAAGAAAGAAAATCTAATAAAGACAACGAGGGCAATAAACACAGCAGAAACCATAGAGACAAATATATACGATATATATACAAATAATACGTCCTGCCAAATATTGACCTACTCCACGGCTCCACGCTGGACATAAGCCGATAGGCACTTCCCCTCAACCTGCACACAGACACTAACGTCCATGAAACTTAAACATTTAAAATATAAAACCGCCACCCATAAAAAGATCATACTCACTGGGTCAATCCGACTGATATGAAAGAGCTCCCGCTATGACATATCTCGCTACACCCGAACTGCAGGATACAGACTTGGGTTACACACCATTACTACACCTCTCACATATGGAACTCCATTCAGCCCCATACCTGGGTTTAAACAGAGAACGGAATAGAAAACCCAAACCACACAACTCCACCAGGCAAGGGCAACACAACAGAAAACGTGTGGGAAATCAAGTGCTCACTACGCCACTGGCATGCTCTACTTTTATTGTGATACAATCATGTTAATCATTCACCAGCCGGTGATAGATGCAGCTAAACCTGTAGTGAGTTCCTCCTATTCTCCAGCAGAGGGGGTTGTGGTAGCAATATTCATTCCATCACACTACTATAGCAACAATTTAGGACAGTCCGTTTCACAATGTCACATTTTAATTGTTACATCTGACACACAAACTTTCCGCGCAAGCGGTTCAACTAAGAATGCAGCACTACTGAGTAAGCTAAAGGCAGTACCGTCACAAGAGCTGTGCCAAGTGTGTGACCGCACAGGGCCTCGCGCCTCTAGAGGGCCTTGCTCCCTGCATTTTATGTCATCTATGTCTAATTTTTATTGCTGTTTTTCCACCCATTTTGTCCTTTGAAAGACTAAAATAGTCATAGCTGATAGACAGTATAAGACTCCGTGTATAAGAATGAGTAAAGCTGTTTGTTGTTAGGATGACAAAAAGCTATAAAAGTTAAACTTTTAGGCTGGTCTGCCTCAGTGGTCCAACAGCGCTCGTCAATGTCAAAATGATCAAGATGGCCAATCAAATCAAAGAAGGCGGGTCTTACGGTCACAACGCAACGCGAGTTCGTGGAAAGATGTAAGTACAGTAGTACTGTATTAGAAAACTGTTTTACGATAGAAATGTTCAGCGACCGACAGTAATAGACTATCTAGTGATGCAAACTCAACTTTTTATGAAATTTCGCCGTTTTGAATTGAAAATGCGATCATGATTCATGTCAGTGTTCCAATTGAGGGGGGGCTGGGGGCACCCATAACCCATAACACCCAAAAAATATACTTGGGGGGGGTCCCCTGGTTTTTCAATAAAACTTTAGGGGGGGGTCCCCTGGTTTTTCAATAAAACTTTACCCCTGGTTTTTCAATAAAACTTTAATACTTAAAATGAAATTTCGATTGCTGTATTAAATTTAGACCTGGTTATGTTACATCATATTTTATTTTTACGCGTTTTTACAGCATTGCACATTATAACCAATCACACACGATTGAGCTTAGGAATGCAGTAACCAATCAGAGGCGTTCAAACTAGTCATCGCTGAAACCCCAGAATTTTGTTCAGACAGAAACTTTCAAATCCCGTCATCATAAGCAACAAAGTGCTGATGTAGGTACGATGTAAGTTAGAGATTCATTTATCATACCGTTTATGGACAGCTTTATTGATAATGAGAGGAGTTATGAGTGCTTAAAGGGGTCATATGATGCGATTTCAATTTTTCCTTTCTCTTTGGAGAGTTACAAGCTCTTGGTCAGTACCGTCGCAAGGGCTGTGCCAAGTGTGCGACCGCACAGGGCCTCGCGCCTCTAGAGGGCCTCGCTCCCTGCATTTTATGTCATTAATGTCTAATTTTATTGCTGTCTTTCCACCCATTTTGTCCTTTGAAAGACTAAAATAGTCATAGCTGATAGACAGTATAAGACTCTGTGCATAAGAAAGAGGAACGCTGTTTGTTGTTAGGGTGACAAAAAGTTTTAAAAGTTAAACTTTTAGGCTGGTCTGCCTCAGTGGTCCAACAGCGCTCGTCAATGTCAAAATGATCAAGATGGCCAATCAAATCAAAGAAGGCGGGTCTTACGGTCACAACGCAACGCGAGTTCGTGGAAAGATGTAAGTACAGTAGTACTGTATTAGAAAACTGTTTTACGATAGAAATGTTCAGCGACCGACAGTAATAGACTATCTAGTGATGCAAACTCAACTTTTTATGAAATTTCGCCGTTTTGAATTGAAAATGCGATCATGATTCATGTCAGTGTTCCAATTGAGGGGGGGCTGGGGGCACCCATAACCCATAACACCCAAAAAATATACTTGGGGGGGGTCCCCTGGTTTTTCAATAAAACTTTACCCCTGGTTTTTCAATAAAACTTTAATACTTAAAATGAAATTTCGATTGCTGTATTAAATTTAGACCTGGTTATGTTACATCATATTTTATTTTTACGCGTTTTTACAGCATTGCACATTATAACCAATCACACACGATTGAGCTTAGGAATGCAGTAACCAATCAGAGGCGTTCAAACTAGTCATCGCTGAAACCCCAGAATTTTGTTCAGACAGAAACTTTCAAATCCCGTCATCATAAGCAACAAAGTGCTGATGTAGGTACGATGTAAGTTAGAGATTCATTTATCATACCGTTTATGGACAGCTTTATTGATAATGAGAGGAGTTATGAGTGCTTAAAGGGGTCATATGATGCGATTTCAATTTTTCCTTTCTCTTTGGAGAGTTACAAGCTCTTGGTGCATAAAGAAGATCTGTAAAGTTGCAAAGACTAAAGTCTCAAATCCAAAGAGATATTCTTTATAAAAGTTAAGAGTCAACCACGCCTACCTAAAACGGCTCGTTCTAACACGCCCCCACATGTCTACGTCACGATGTGCGAAGATTTGCATAACACCGCCCAAATGTTCACACAAAGAAAGAAGGAGTAACTTTTATTCTCGCTGTAATATTGAAAAGTGAAAAGTGAAAAAGTGAAAAGTGACGTGACATGTGGCCAAGTATGGTGACCCATACTC